CACGCCGGATGGACTGTACGAGTTCAAGGTGATACCCTTCGGACTATGCACAGCGCCAGCAACTTTCCAGCGTGTCATGGACACCGTACTGGCAGGGCTGAAGTGGCAGAGTTGTCTCGTCTACCTTGACGACGTCGTAGTATTTTCAGCTGACTTCGACGAGCACTTGAGACGACTCCGAGCTGTTCTTCAAGCCATTCAGACCGCCGGACTCACACTCAAGCCGTCAAAGTGCCGGTTCGCCTATGACGAACTGAAGTTCCTTGGCCACGTGGTTAGTAACGAAGGCGTCCGCCCAGACCCCGAGAAGACTCGCGCCGTCGCGGCATTTCCAGCGCCGACAGATAAGAAGGCCGTGCGAAGATTCCTTGGACTTTGTGCCTATTATCGACGCTTCGTTCGGGATTTCGCAAGGATTTCCGCACCACTTACGAATCTCACGAAGGACGCCAAGAAGTTCGAATGGGCCGAGGAGCAACAGCAGGCATTCGACGAACTGAAACGACGACTCCAGACTCCTCCTGTGCTTGGACATTTCGACCAGGATGCGGAAACAGAAATTCAGACGGACGCAAGTAACGCGGGACTGGGCGCAGTACTAGTCCAAGTGCAAGAAGGCGTCGAGCGAGTCATCGCCTACGCAAGTCGGACATTGTCCAAGGCAGAGAAAAATTACTCCACAACTGAGAAAGAATGCCTTGCGGTCGTCTGGGCAATAACGAAGCTTCGTCCGTACTTGTACGGCAGCCCGTTCCGTGTAGTCACGGACCACCACTCGCTCTGCTGGCTTGCGAAGCTGAAGGACCCGTCAGGACGCCTCGCTCGATGGAGTCTTCGACTACAAGAGTTCAACATGACAGTGGTCTATAAGTCGGGCCGCAAGCACAGCGACGCCGACTGCCTGTCCAGAGCCCCCGTCGAAACCCCTTCCGGCTGCAGCGACGACAATGACGACGAGTGCTTTCTAGGAGCAGTGAACACCGACGATATGGCACGACGTCAACGGGACGATCCTGAGCTGCGCGCATTAATCGAGCACCTGGAAGGGGGCAGGAGTACCGTGCCACGTGTCTTCTCACGAGTACTGCCGACCTTCGCCATCCGACAAGGTGTACTCTACAAAGAGAACTTCGGCAACAACAACACACCTTGGTTGCTGGTAATCCCGAGTGACCTTCGAGAGGAGATCTTCCAAGCCTGCCACGACGACCCGACATCCGGACACCTTGGTTACAGCCGGACACTGGCCCGTATTCGTGAAAAGTATTACTGGCCGAAGCTCCCCAAGACCGTCCACCTATACACACGATCATGCCACGAGTGCCAGCGACGCAAGAAACCGCCGACGAGGCCGGCCGGACTTCTGCAGCCCATTTCTCCTCCAACTACACCCTTCCAGCAGATCGGAATGGATCTACTTGGTCCTTTTCCGCCTTCGACGTCGGGGAACCGCTGGATCATCGTCGCCACAGATTATCTCACGCGGTACGCCGAAACGAAAGCTCTTCCTTCAGGGACTGCTGTGGAAGTCGCCAAGTTTTTCATCGAGTCCATCGTCCTCCGGCACGGCGCTCCCGAGGTTCTGATTACAGATCGCGGATCTTCGTTCATGGCCCAGCTGACGCAAGAGACCCTTCGTCTCAGTGGCACCGGCCATCGTCGAACCACTGCATACCACCCGCAGACCAACGGACTGACCGAGCGACTCAACAAGACAATCGCCGATATGATCTCTATGTACGTCGACGTAGAGCACAAGACGTGGGACGAGGTGCTGCCCTGCGTCACGTTCGCCTACAATACGGCGGTTCAAGAGACCACTGGATTCACCCCTTTCCAGCTGGTACATGGTCGGAAGGTAACGACCATGCTGGACGCCATGCTGCCCCATGAGCCATCTGACAACGAGAGCGACGACGCCCAGGCGGTTGCTCAACGCGCCGAAGAAGTTCGCCAGCTCGCCCGACTCCTGATTCAAGACCAGCAACGCGTCGACGCCGGCCGCTACAACCTTCGTCGCAGGGACGTCCACTTCCAGCCCGGAGACAGGGTGTGGGTGTGGACGCCCATCCGTCGCCGCGGCCTCAGTGAGAAACTGCTGAAACGGTACTTTGGACCGTACAAGGTACTTCGTCGCCTCGGCGAGCTGAACTACGAGGTGATGCCCGACGGAACACGAACATCGTCACGCCGCCCACCACGACCTGAGATCGTCCACGTCGTGCGCCTGAAGCCGTACTACGCTCGATAGGACTGTGGACCTTTTGTGCTCCAAAAGACTCTTTGGTTTATCGTTCTTTTTTATTTTGATTTGTTTTACACTGCATCGGGGCGATGCACTTTTAAAAGGGGGAGTAATGCCTCACGCAAGGCTGAGAAAGCAACGCTCGGTCACGGTCCTTCAGAAAGTTCCCGTTTATTCATGTACCGCACGTAACTTCTATCATTTATCCCTGCTTTTGTTTTCTAGAAAGTGCGTGTTCATTCTCGCCCCGATCACGCGACGCTCGAACCGCTTTCGCCGAATCTTCGAGATAGCGGCGCACTCTAGATAAGAGGCCGCCCGCGACCTTGTCGAGTCAGTCTCGCCCTAGCGCTCGATTCTGCTGACACGCCGACTTCGACGCCCCCGACGCTCTGCTTTCTTCTGTTTCCTTCTTTATTTTTTTTTTGGCACAAGTTCGCCACATTAAACGTTTATTTCTTTCTGTTTATTTCCTGTTTTTTGTTTGGTCACCACCTGTGACAATACTGCCTGGAACATAGTCTGCCTCAACGGGCGACTTGTCTCCAAGCTGTAGATGAGGAATTTAGCCAGTGCAGTACAACCGCTAGCCTGGGTGTTTAACACGCACCAGGCAGTGGTGATACACGACCGCACGCTGGTACGATGCTGATCCAGATTGAAACGTGCAGGGGTGAGGATTGAAGCCAGGATCCCCGGATTCTGCAGCGCGAGCTTTCGCTCCACGCACGTGCTACCAAGCTGCGGTGCTCTAGCACCAATCCCCGTACGGCTCATCTTAACTGAAATGCCCCGTTCCTTCTGACCTTGTAGGATAACTCTACCAATATGAAACATGCACAAGCAAATTTTCGGCAATGCGAAACTGTATAATCGAAAGAAGAAAGCAGACCCTGTCTTTACTTTTCGTCACTTGGGAACCCAAAGGACTTGGCAGGGCTGTCACCACCGGAATTCGAGCACCACCAAGCCGAGCAATAGAAAACGTGCCTTTTGCTCGGCGCACTGGCAGACAAAATAAACCAATAACCAGCGGACCGACACCACCGCCCGCTGCCACAAACCAAAAGCACCGTCGCATTTCTGGAACAAGCGCCGTCGAGCAGCCCACGCAGCATGCACCCGCGGCAGCCGACGCGCAACTGTTATATATCAGCGGGCGAAATATAAAAAATAAAACAGCCGACCAATGAGAGAAACGTATGAGGGCGAAACTTGAGCTAACCAAGACATTTGTTTCACCTCAGCGGGTTAAATTTTTAAATCTGTAAACAGCAGCAATAGTATGTTTCTCATGTTATGAAGGGCATCGTCCCGCGAAAACCGGAAGTTGTTAAGTAAATTCCAGCGAATTAGAGATTACGCCCAAACAGCTGATTGGAAGTCGCTCGAAGATTCCGCGGGTTGGTAAAGCTGACCTGCTCGGAGTCGGTGCACATTCGGTGAAAATTTAAGCATTATACACTTACAAAACAAGGGTGTCGCATTACACCCTTGTGTCCCATATAATGCGTCTCATAACTTCAGTTCGACGTACTGCGCACTGTAGTCAAACAGACGACCCAAATTTTACGAGGGGCTTTACAACGTTATGATGTAACGTATTAAAGAGCTAAAGTATGTATCAAAGACCACAGAAAGAAAAGGCTGAGGTTTTGCAGTAAAGCCGAGAAAACCCGAAGTATTATTATTTTTTGTAGCCAGTAACACGTAGAGTATCTATTTTAGTAAGTCTTACCAGACGGCTATTAAACTTCTCGTGAAAGTTGGTACCGTCGGTTCGACGTGAATACACTGTAAGTCGAACGTAAATATTGGTGTGCCTTATATGGGACAAGAGGTGTAAGAATAGACCCTCTCTGTCTGAGATTGTATGAGCAGGCGCCGGTTCTTGCGACTCGTTTTACAGCCGAAGGTGCGCTTGGGACATTCGATGCCAGTGTCGCCATGTCACTGATTGCGGGTAGATAATAAGACGCTTGCGAATCACCAGGAATTGCGTTTCTTAAACGTTTAATTACTATCAAAATCTTACTTTAAGTTCATTTTCTTGTTCGTGTTTTAATTATTCTACTTAGGAGCACCCAGTACTGAAGCACACGTTGTGAACACGTTGTTCCTTACTTCAAACAAATCTTAAATTACATATTAATTTTTCCCTCTTTTCCCAAGAATCTAAAAAAAAAACATGGAGGAACAAATTAATTGGGTGTATCCGGACTTTACAATAATCCAATTACTTGTAATCGGTTACTTTTGGAGTAAATTAGCAAGTTGATTTCTTTTTGGAAGTACCAAGCTTACTTGTAACTGCTACTATTTCTTCCTTCGCTTTTTTTAAATTGCGTACTTTGTTTCTGCAAGTTTATTACCGAGGAATCCTCGAACCAAGTTTTCGGCAGAGAATGGTGTGCTAAATTCGGTTGATTAAGGAGATAGGTAGTTTCTAATTCGGTCATCCTAATCCAACAATGGACAGTAAAAAGGACCCGTTTTCAAACTGGAAAAAAGATCTGTCGATTTTAAAATTTGAAGTCATCGGAAAAGTAACCGTCACTTTTTCAAGTAACGGTCAACTACTTTTCATCTCAAGTAATGGAGTAATCTGATTGCATTTTTTAAGCTAGAGTAATTGTAATTGTTATTTGTTTATTTTTTTCAAGCAGCGTGTACAAGACTGGGAGTATTAATATTGTATATATACATATATGTTTTTTTTTTCCAGAATAAGCTGGCGACATGGCACGTCCGCCTACTAGTTCAAAAGCTGATCGATGGAATCGTCCAGATGCAGCAGCCTGACGGAAGCCTGCAAGACGTCTTCGGCCACCTTTAGGCTTTTCGCTTTGTAGCTGAGCCAGCGTTCTTTGCAGTCCGAGTAGTATTTGCCCGTTTCTCGGGACACCTTGGGATGGACCGCGAGAAAGATGGCGGTCTGAGCACCTTGCAGAGCGGTCTGAAATTGACAAGAAGAGCGGGGCCTGCATATTTCGCGGACGTTCGAGCAAAACTCAACGAGAGCAAATATTTTCTCAGGTGAGACGCATTACTTCTCAATTAAATAGAAGATTATGATCTCTCCCATATATGCTTTCGTAATGGATTAACCTGAATATTAGTTCGGAATGCGATATATGCGCACTTTTCAAACTGTGCACTTTATAGCAGGAGTGGCCAAACAGCGGCTCACGACACGCATACTACTCTTCAAAGGTACAATTGCGGCTCGAAGATCCCTGGAGACCATAACCACCCCCCTGCCCCTCCCCCCCCCCCCCCCCCCCCCCCCCCCCTCCCATTTCCGAGGCTAAAGTTTTGACAGCATTGTGCCACCATACCTACCTACATCGAACCGACCGAATAAAAGAGATGAGGACCAGCGACTCTTTAACCATACGTGCACTTTTGCTTCGCGGTTGACGAAATTTTTTGCCACCAGTTTTTGTCGTAAATAAGATCGCAGGTGATGCTTATGCGTTACACAGAGGTTATACCTTTCATAATCCCTTTAAATTTGAGCCCAACATCGAGGGGCTTGTTTCACGTCAAAGAAGCATTATGTGGAGTTACTTTATAAGGGGCATTGGCTTACTTGTTTATCAGACGGAAGAAGCAAAGAAAAACTGCCCGCCCATTTTTAGGGTTGCTCTTCACTTAAAATGGTTCTTTTATTTACAGTTAAGCTGTTTATGACTCGTTGGTCAGATTTTTTTCGTGTCGGCGTCGTCACGGAGAAAACGAAAAAAAAAAAATTTTAGCGATTGAAGCGAAAAGTGGACACATCACCCATACAAAATACAACACAGCATTCGTTTCAATAAAGAACAAGCACAAAACAAGCATCCTAACCAGAGAATATATGATAAGGCGGTCCTGCTAACATTGCGATGCACGTAGCGCTCACCGCATACATTTTCCGGAAGAGATTACCATTGCGCAAGTTGCCGTGGCGACGGCAGCTTGCGACGTGGGGAGTGACGTCACTAGCCTCTTCTATATAAAAGAAGAACCTTTTCTATACTCCGTTTCACCTCACGACCGGATGCAGAGGTCGATAGGAGCTATCCTAGCGAATTCCGTTCTGTAGACGTCGCCCGTGAACTCTTTCCGCGTGTCGGTGTGCCCCCTCCCTAAGGTCACGTGATATACTCACACCGCCTTGGATTGGTTCCGATGGCTCGTAGCATCAAGTGAGCTTGGACGTAAGGTCAAACGGAGTATAGCAACTGATTTGATTGTTGTTGCAGCACCACTATGGGTAGGCCACCATAGTTAGGACTCCCGAGGAGCAGCGTGAATAGGAGGAGCGGCAGAGGAGAACAAAAACGGCAATGCGACCACCGGCGACGTGCTGCGACCAGCGGCGGCATTTGGTTTAGTGCAGAGGGCAATCGTTGCGGGTGATACCGCAGCTTCGCTCGCCAACCACTTTCACAACGGGGATAGGTGCCCTAACTTTTTATTTTCTGCGCTCATCACATAGGTTCGTTTGGTCAACAAAGAGTCAGAAAGAAATTCTGACTCTTTGTTATGGCTCTTGTGAGCTTCATGAAAAACTCAATGTTCTTTTGTCTGACTTCTAAATTTTGTAAATATTTTTGTTATTCAAGGTCACGCAAACCATGATCGCCGTCCCTTATTTTAATACTCGCATTTTCCCGGTGCAATTGTACTCGCGAGGTCTAAGTAGCAAGCACTCAATAGTGACCTTAACGCAACCGCACTTTTAACTAATTTCTTTTTTGGGACGTTAAGAAAACTAGATATAAAAAACAAATTAAGCACGAGCTGTACCGCCTACACCCAGGCATGAACGTAACGAGTTACAAATAGCTGATTACTCTTAATTAATGACATTTTTATTGTAACTTTTAAACGCTTCAGTTACTCTTTTCTGCGGAAACATTCGCTGTATTCCAATTACTATTTATCTGTACACAATTACAACTGATCAATTCTCGCTGTCCTAAAGAGCAACGGCCGCCATCTCTGCAGAAGCTCCGGAGAGTCCGTCCCCGGACGATTTTTTCAGCTTTTCGCTGACTCCACCTGAACATTTTCAACAGGCGGTTTTAACAGTGATACGCTTCGCTTCCTAGAGGACTCGGAAGCGCCCGTCGAAGCACCGCGCAACCCCGAACTAGTACGCAGAGTGTTTGTGCGCTACAACACCGCTGCTCTTCCAAGTGCATCCGTCGAGAGGCCTTTCAGCGTCGCGGCACATCTCTTCACCGGGAAAAATGGAAGATAACTGACGAGAACTCCGGACAAGGACTGCTGCGTGAATGACAAAACGAAACAAAGTTTAACCACTTTGAACATATGTATGCTATTTTCATTTCGTAAATAAAGCTAGAAAAGTAACGTGAAAGTAATCAATTACTTTCTGGTAACTTTTCAATTACTTTTGTAAAACAGTATTTTATTACTGTAATGAGTAGCATTTTTCAATAAAGTGATTCTAACTGTAATCGGTTACTTTTTTCAGTAACGCGTACCAGAACTGGGCAATGTCGCGATGAAAATGTATCGCCACAATATATAAAAAAAAATTTAATATTTGTATTTTTGTATCGCGATATATTTTTGCATTAGGTATCTGCATTTGAGTATCGCAAACGCATTTTTGGTGTATTGCTTGTATCGCGATACAATTTCGGACTAATGTATCTCGTTACAACGTTCAAGAAATCGGTGACCCCCAAGCGATAGCTCAAGAGACTGTTTTCTTTCTTATTTCTTTCATCAGAGGGGTAGAGGGTGCAGTAAATGCGACATTGGTGCTTTCTTATCAAGCAGACCAAGGTCTTTTTTCAACATTATGGCCTTGGCATTGGAGAATCCCTGATATGGCTCCGGGGATACTGCAGTTGGGCAACTATTTTTGTTGAATCAAAACGTTGACGGCACAGTGGGCACGAGCTTCCCAGCTATTCACTGAGCTCCCAGCATTATTTACTGCAGCGAGCTTAACGTTTCGTACTTCAAATAATGCGAAAAAAAAAAAAAAAAACATCATTTCATTCTGAGGCGACGAATGATAGTGACTGCAGAAAAGGTACCGACATGGAACTGTGCTCCGTTCACCTCTAAGCTGACAGTGCGTTGGAAGCTACGTGGTCGTTGGACTTGCTTGACTTGCTTGGCGACAGTGAAAGCCTCCACTGCGCTGGTGGTCCATGATAGTTGTGCCGAGGACTTGCTCGGAGCTCAGAGCAAGTCTGTGAGAGGCTGAAGTATTTCTGCGCAACGTGGGATAAAACGCCGATGACAATTATTGAGGCCCAGAAATTCCTGCAGATTACGTAAAGATCTGGGTTGTGGGAAGTTTTGTATGGCTTCCACCTTAGATTGAAAAGGTTCGATGCAATCGGGAGCAATGCAGTGCCCTAAAAATTCCAGTGCCGTAGTACCAAAGGTACACTTCGCCCCATTAATTGTAAGCCCGTAATCGCGGAGGCATTCGAAGAGATGGCTCAGATGCGTTGCGTGCTCCTCGTGGGATTTGCTCGCGATCAACAAGTCATCCACATAGTCAAATACAAACGGCAGTCCATGAAGAACTTCGTGGATGAATCTCTGAAAGTTTTGCGCCGTGTTTTTGACTTCGAAAGGCATGCGAACGCACTCGAAGAGGCCAAATGGTATTGTGATGGTCGTCTTTGGAATATCTGCAGCTCGATCGGGATGTGGTGAGACGCCTTCACCATGTCGATTTCGCTAAATATAGAAGTTTCTGCCAGGTGCCCGGCGAAGTCATGTATATGAGGTAGTGTTTAGTGATCGGGTTCATGTGGAGTGGTGATGAACAAGAGCTGTTGGATGGTCGAATTATGCCTAGTTCTAGCAGATGCTAGAACTCTGCCCGTGCACCTACCAGGCATTCACCAGACAGACGACGAGGGCGAGCAAAACCGGGAGGGCCGGAGGTGACGATGTGGTGTAACACTGCATGCGGTGGCGGCTCTGCCGTGTTGAACGACTTCTAGATTTCAGGGAATTCTTTAAGAATGTCTGAGAATATCGAAGGAGGCAGGATATTCCGGATGGAAAGGGTAGGTAGAGTCAGTGGCGGATCCAAGGGGGGGGGGGGGCGGTGGGGGCGATCGCCCCCCCCCCCCCCAAACGCCTCGCCGTGCAGGCCTCAAAACACTTTTGAAGGTTGGTTGGGGTAAGTAGGCTAAGTGTAAACAGATACAAGAATATGTTGATCATTGTTACCAGTGGCCATCAGCGACTTGTAATGCCCGATTCTATTTGGGGTTTCAGTATCGACGTCCATCATCTCAGCTACGGTCCACGCTTTTGCAGTCCGAGCGACGTCGCGACTGCAAATAGCGAGCAGAATCTCATCGTGGGAGACAGGCTTTAGCGCCCATTCTGCGGCGTCCAAGTGAAATGAATCGCCACACGTCGGATTATTCATGCAAAGTTTTGCCTCGTTAGTTTTGCTGAAGCCGCTCAAGTAGTCAGACATTGTTAGGAGGACGTAGAATCAACAATTCCAACGCGAAAAAGAGCACGGGGACTCCCACCGACGCCGACAACAACGCAATCCGATGGTTTGTTTATGGGCGACGGCGGGCTTCTTGCCCACCATCCACCGCGCAAGCGTGGCGCCGGTGGCGTCCGCTAGGGGCGCTCCGGTTTGTTTGTAAACATGAGTTGGTGTATACACAGCGGATTATCCTTCCTCTCTAGCGGCCGCCTTCTCATCACTTTTCGTTTGATGGTTTCTTCGTGGTTCTGGGCTTGTCTTTTGGCATGTCTTTTTTGGCTTGCGTTGAGATGGTGTCGACCACGGGCTCACCAAAGGTATCTTATTGGCACGGTGTGCTCATTGCCAAGGGAAGTGCGGAGAGGACGTACCAGGAGGAGACGTTCCAGGGGGGGGGGGGGGGGGAGGAGGGGGGGGGGGGTGTGCAGCTTGTACAACCAGGTGACATTGCTTTTCTT